TCAGTTGTTTTATGGTTTCTTAGCCATATTCCAACTGAATCGCTGCAGTCCCAAAGACACATTCTTAAGTTCAAAACGATTACTTTAGATATAGATGGCAAAAACTGATTCAAAATATCATCTTTTGCATTTATTTCAGATTCTGTATCAAATTTTGGGACTTTTATAACATTTAACTTTATCTTTCTTTTACTTCATCTTTTTTCTTCCCCGCTGACTGCTGTTTATTGTTGTGGTAGGGGGCCTGTGTCTATTAGCCTAACTAACATTTTACCTAGACTATCGGCTATTAATATATAAGATTATTTTCGGGTAATCCAGCAACCGGTTCGCTAAGCTTTTATAATTTGAAGAATCCGTTCGAAACAGTAGGATGCCACTACTGCTTACAACCCATTGTATATTTATTGAATTCAGTTTCTATCCGAATTTACCGAATTCATTTTCTATCCGCATGTATGCTTTTGCATAATCTAAAACTTAGTATTGACTCATTCTCACCAGTCTCATCTCGTTCCTAAATTCAAAGAAGATGGAAATAATGATGTGAAATCAGTAAAAACCAAAATAAGTTATTGTTGTCCGGATTTTTAAAAATAGGCTTCTCATTTCTCAAGAATACATCTTATAGTTAATACTTTGGCTGGCAATTTTGAAATTAGTAGGTAATTAAGTGTGAATAAAAATCAACAAATGTTAATCGAAAGAAGCAAGATGGAATTTAATTGGCTCAGGATTTGTCTAGGAAAGATGTTCTCAAAGAAATTTTGATATAATTAAAATCGTGGAGATCTATTTTTTTCTTTTCTATCACTCCAAGAGTGCAGGTGACACGTCCGTAGTAACTATCTTTCCAATGCAGCACAAGTACAAACTTCCGTTTCCAAAGGTTCATATAGCTAAATGAATAAGAAGACAGAACGTTCAAATTGGAAGTTATTAATAAATCAAACAAGAGCTACTTTCGTGAAATAGAACTAAATAATTCGTTTTAACTTTATGCACTTGGAAAAGACATGAATACTTCCAGATTGTTTGATAGATAGCAATAGTGATTAGATTATGTAGTGCTGGGTTTGCAGTTAATTCCAGATATGGGTTACACTAAAACGCAAACCTTAGAAAAGCAAACAGAAATAAATCTAATATTTCACCTAAAGCGTTGTGGCGATTCAAACATAATAAGAAATGAATTTATGGAAAGTCATGATCCCTTATGTTGAATAGGATACAAATTGCAATACTAATTTTGAACCGGTTTTAATAGACAACTGCGAAAATAAGATAACTCCAGTTGAAATAAGTATTAACAGTGAAATTAAATATAATTCTGTCTATATTTATGAGATGAGGTATTGTAACTATTTACACTATTTGCATTATTCGGTCTGTTGTCCTCATCTTTATTGCCATATTCACATTCAACATCTGTCTCTATTTCTCAGATGTGGTACTGCAACTATTTACACTATTTACATTGTTTGGACTGCTGTCCTCATCTTTATTGCCATATTCACCTTCACTATATGTTTCTATTTCTCAGATGAGGTATTGTAACTATTTACACTATTTGCATTATTCGGACTGTTGTCCTCATCTTTTGACCTCATTTTTATTGTCATATTCACGACGTTCAGGCCGTTGTATGCTCCGGCATACTTTAGGACCGGTTTATATTTCTGAGAAGAGGTATTGCAACTATTTACACCATTTACATTGTTCGGACTGTTGTTATCATCTTTATAGGAAAATTCACAAGTTGCAGCCACAGTACGCTCCGGCCTTCTTCAGGATCTGTCTATATTTCTGAGATGAGGTATTGTAATTATTTACACTGTTTACAGTGTTCGGACTGTTGTCCTCATCTTCCTTGCCATATTCACAACGTTTCGGTCGTTGTACTCTCAGGCCTTCTTATATATTTCTGAGATGAGATACTGTAACTATTTACACTTTTTACATTGTTCGGACTGTTGTCCTCATCTTCGTTACCATAAGCACGACCTTCCAGCAGTTGTACGCTCCGGCCTTCTTCAGAATCTGTCTATATTTCTGAGATGAGGTATTGTAACCATTTACACTATTTAAATTATTCGGACTGTTGTCCTCATCTTTATTGTCATATTCACGACGTTTAGGCCGTGGTACGCTCCGGCCTTCTTCAGGTATTGGAATTTCGAACCGAAATCTTTATTTAGCCATGTGGGTAGATTGTTCTAGTTCCACGTACATGCGTTTTTTGGGATATCTCAGTTTTCATTTAAATAAAGATATGGACAATAGTCCGAATAATGTAAATGATGCATATATTTATGCATTTGCATCATTTTCTATGTTACCAAATTTAGGAACCAACTAGACAATTGACATAGGTCAATAGCGTCCCGGACAAAGTACTTGTGAATTCAATCACTGGTCCGAGTAGTGTGTATTTGGAATGGTGAAAACGAGGCGTGAAACAGTTGAGCAGTCCTAAATACGAACTATATGAGATATCATTAGACTTGGTAAGTGAAAACAGAACAATTTATCCTCGTAGATTAAATAAAACATTCCGAAATTTCCTGAGGGTTACGCTGAATCAACAATCCTCTGATGAAGATCGAAACGTTGTGATAATGAAAACAAAGGTGAGGACACTTGTCCGCGTGTAAATAATGATGACATCTTATCCAAAAAATTCAGGCGGAAATTAAATATATGTGAATATAAAAATTCACTGTTTTATATGTGGATCCATTAGACTCTCCGTGTGATACAGAGATAGGGCTTATGTTTATATCTCGTTGAAACACCGGCCACCGTAGTCACCGAGTTTGGTAAGTAACTATTGAGAATACCAGGTGCTGTAATTTTGCATGTGCGGGTGGTGTAATACATAATGACCCGGAATTGTTAATCGCAGAGCCGAGTTTCAATTCCAGTCAGGTTTGTTTTATACACTTACGCGGAAAGGTATGAATACACTTCCTCTCACCCAGATATAGGTTAACACTTCCGCTGCTAACTACGGAGATGTTCGTTTTTCTTATCTTGCTCCAGCTGGCTAAGTACGGAAACCGACGTCTTTTTTGCATACCGCTGGTATGAGTATCCCGTTGCGCCATCTATCGTAAAATCACAAAGGACAATGCTTCAAAAGATATCATTTGTATACCCATTACTGGTCTGGTAAGTCATTCCCAGGTATATCCATGAAAATGGAATGCTGTAAAACACACTGGTGCCAGTTTTCTGTGTAATAAAATATGTAGGTTGAAATTTGGCATTTTCTTTAAAAATGGCTGGCCGGATGGGGGCAGCACTTTGGCAAATGAGTAGCAGTGAAAGTAGTAATTAATTTGTCTTATATTACTAAACCATAATTACATCCCCCCACCAAAAAAAAATTGTTAAAATCTAAAAATATTTTCTGGCTTTAAATAACCTGCAAATGCTGATAATCCGTAGAAAATGAATCAATCAACGAATACATAGCTTTCCTTTCAATTCTTTTTCATTCATTCCTTCCTTTTATTTTTTTTCTTTCTGAATTAATTTTCTCATACACTTAAAACTACCTCGTTTAGATTTACACAGAAATGCTGGCAATTTTTTTAACATTTTTCAATCGTATTCAAACCCCCTGCAAGGTGTGGAATTGTTAGAAATCAAAGAAGATTAATCAAGAAGACTGTAGATAGTGATTTACATTTAAAATTTTGTATATTAAAGTTGGCTGGAAAGCATGGAGCCTGGATGTAGTTCCACAAGCAAGAAGTGCGAAAAAGAAACTGATAACATAGAACCCTCGGTTATATCCTGTCAACTCAACTATAAATTGATGAGACCTTCCTGCCAATCTAGTACTGCACTTAAATTCATAAAGTCTATGTATCATAGTGAAGAGCAATATTTATTTCTGTTAAAATACAGAAAATGTGGCACAAGACCAAAATGGGGGATGGGGTGGGGGAAAAAGGAGTGGTCTTCTGTCTCAGAAGTAAATTTACCCCGCAACAATCACTGAGCCAAACATACTACAATATTCCTGACACCAAAAGAAGACATTCTTATTTATCTCTCTTACTACATCCACTATAAATACTCCAATAGCGAAGAGCTCAGCCAAAGAATTACGATAAAAGTATTTATAAAAGAAAAGCACAGGAAGTCAACTTTACGATAGAAGACAAGTGACTGAAGCCGTGCCGCCAGATCAGGACCAATAATATTGCTGATTCTTCTTTGGTTCTTATCAAGGAGCTTTAGATAAATAGCAGGAATACCGAGCTTGACGTTATTCTATTTGACACGATGCACTTGTTTTTTTTTTTTGTATTTTTTTAAATTGATTTCTTTCTTTCTTTCTTCTCCATTATTTACATTCATTCTTTCTTTTTTCTTTATCATATAATTTTATTTTTCTTTATCATGTCTTTCTTTCGTTCGTTCTTTCTTTCTTTCTTTCTTTCTTTCTTTCTTTCTTTCTTTTCTCCATTATTTACTTTCATTCTTTCTTTCTTTTTCTTTATCATGCCTTTCTTTCTTTCTTTCTTTCTTTCTTTCTTTCTTTCTTCTCCATTATTTACCTTCATTTTTTCTTTATTTTTCTTTATCATATAATATCCTTTTTCTTTATCATATGTTTCTCTTTATTTCTTTCTTTCTTTCTTTCTTTCTTTTTCTCCATTATTTACTTTCATTCTTTCCTTTTCTTTATCATGTCTTTCTTACATTCTTTCTTTCTTTCTTTCTTTCTTTCTTTCTTTCTTTCTTCTCCATTATTTACCTTCATTCTTTCTGTCTTTTTTCTTTATCATATAATTTTCTTTTTCTTTATCATGCCTTTCTTTCTTTCTTTCTTTCTTCCCCATTATTTACCTTCATTTTTTTCTTTATTTTTCTTTATCATATAATATCCTTTTTCTTTATCATATGTTTCTCTTTATTTCTTTCTTTCTTTCTTTCTTTCTTTTTCTCCATTATTTACTTTCATTCTTTCTTTCTTTTTCTTTATCATGTCTTTCTTACTTTCTTTCTTTCTTTCTTTCTTTTTCTTTCATTCTTTCTTTCTTTCTTTCTTTATTTCCATTATTTACCTTCATTCTTTTTTCTTTGTCTTTTTTTTTCTTTATCATATAATTTTTTCGTTTTTTTCTTTATCATTCTTTTTTCTTTCTTTCTTTCTTTTCCCCATTATTTACCTTTCATTTTTTTTCTTTATTTTTCTTTTATCATATAATATCCTTTTTCTTATCATATGTTTCTCTTTTTTTTTTTTTTTTTTCTTTCTTTCTTTTCTTTTTTATCCATTATTTCTCTTTATTTTCTTTCTTTCTTTTTTTTTTTATCATGTCTTTTCTTTTCTTTCTTTCTTTCTTTTCTTTCTTTCTTTCTTTTCTTTCTTTCTTTCTTTCTTCTCCATTATTTACCTTCATTCTTTCTGTCTTTTTTCTTTATCATATAATTTTCTTTTTCTTTATCATGCCTTTCTTTCTTTCTTTCTTTCTTCCCCATTATTTACCTTCATTTTTTTCTTTATTTTTCTTTATCATATAATATCCTTTTTCTTTATCATATGTTTCTCTTTATTTCTTTCTTTCTTTCTTTCTTTCTTTCTTTTTATCCATTATTTACTTTCATTCTTTCTTTCTTTTTCTTTATCATGTCTTTCTTACTTTCTTTCTTTCTTTCTTTCTTTCTTTCATTCTTTCTTTCTTTCTTTCTTCTCCATTATTTACCTTCATTCTTTCTTTCTTTTTTCTTTATCATATAATTTTCTTTTTCTTTACCACATTTCTTTCTTTCTTTCTTTCTTTCTTTCTTTCTTTGAAGATGGTAATTCGATTCTTGTTTATGATCAGTGAATCGGAATGGCACATCTGTTATAAGTATTCATCCCCTCCTTGGACAAATTACTTCACAGACATCAAAAATAGTCTACGCCTGAAAATTCCGTTACAAACCTTCCAAGAGTATTATTCACCAAACCAGTTTTGTGTTTGTGTGTGTCTGTGTGTGTGCTTTTTTCATTTCACCCCAAGCAAGACGGGAATTAAACAGTGGGTTACAGGGAGTGAAAGTGAAAGAGAAGCCTGACAACACGGACGATTGAGGAAAGGACAAAAGATGAACGAGATTCAAGAAGATAGAAGATGGTGATTGATGTTGTATTTGAATTTTTGAAGATTGTAGTTATCAGGGAAGCAAGTAAACGGATGGCTGTTCCAGGGGCAGGAAGTGAGAGAAAATAAACTGCCGGAGTAGAAGTGGAGGTTGCATTTAACTATTTCAATTGTAAAATGGTAGGACTGCGATGACAATCTAATATCTCAGTTAAATTTATGTAGTTGGAACACTAGGAAAAATAACTCGTCAGAGTAGATGACATGAAAATATTTGTAGAAAAGACAGAGGGAAGCCGCGTCACGTCGGTGAGAAAGTGACTGAAGTCGAGACACCTTATCAGAATTGATTACATTACAGACCCTTTGGATTTTGTCAAGAATATCGAGATGTACAATAGGACTACCAGACCAGATATGGTAGCCGTATTCACTGTACGGATGAATGATAATTTTTTTTATAATGTTACAAGATAGATTCTGACGTAACCAATTATCCTTGCAGTAGATGCAGCTGTTGATTCGATGTAGTCCGCAACTTCGTCAGTTGAAAACATGAAGCCAAAAAGGCGCAGTGTGTTGTTCTTCTGGAGTCTAACGTCAGTCAGACTAAAGGCAGATAGAAAAGTTTATTTATGGTAGTTAAATGAAAGAAGTTTAGATTTAGATGCGTTAAAACTTCTAAGCTATTTCTTTCAATTAATTACTTATAAGAGTCTCTATTCAAGAGCAGCCGCCATACTTACTTTCTCAGATCTGGTGGATTTGCTACTGAGACAAGAGTACATGCTAAAGTCATCTACATAAATGCCTATCAACAGTTGCCATCCAAGGCTATAGAACCCGGTCTGTCCTGCTATTTACCGATAGCTGGGAGGGGGAAAAGAAGAGGATTCGTATCTTTCCCAGGGGTATTAGCACGTAAGTGAATGTAATGGAATTCGAACTCGGCTCTCCGATTCCTCAATCCAAGACCGCTATCCATTATTCCACCATGCATATCACCAAGCATGCATTATCCATTACATCCACAATACATATCACCAAACCAATTTATATAGTAAATGCAGATATAACTTTTTAAATTTTTAAAAGTAAAAATATTCTCAAAGTGAGACAGTATCATTTTTAACTATATTCTTCTGGCGTCAATTTAAATTAATGCCTTCTTCTCTCCACCCCATACTTTTGCACTCTAATAAACTATAGTTTTAGAAAGCGAGAATTTCACTGAAATATACTGAGTAATCTCCAAGAATTAAGCTAAATGTTCCCAAAGAAAGGGGAAAAAGAAGTCTTCAGATTTAATTTTCGCAAGGAGTATATGGGTTAAAACAATATCTGCTTACCGATATCTTCGTGTGTGTAGAATCAGATTTTATTGTATATTAAATATATACGATATTTATTTTTAATCAAATATCGACTTCAAGTGATTGCGATATACACTGTGATCGGATTCAAATATTTTAAGTACGTGTTCGCAATTCTTTTACATCGCCAATATTTTCTCATGAAATTAGGAGCTGTCGATAATTTTGGTTTATTTATTTATTTCTCTATTATTTTTTACATTGCTAACTTTTTGTCTATAAATAAAGTGTTCCAATAACTTGGAACGATTTAAAATGTGAATTAAGTTTAAGCATCTATTGATTTTTTTTCTTTTTCTTTCAGATTTAACAACTTAAATCTTTGGCAATTTCAACCATGGAAAGATTAACAATTAAAAAACGTGTTAAATTAAACGTCTATTACGAAAATGGACGTTCAAACAGAAATGCAATTCGCGCAATTCGCGATTTTTTAAAATATTTTATTTTATTTATTTATTTATTTATTTTTGGTCGACTAAAGGAGAATGCAATTGGAAACGATGTAATGTTATTGTGGATAGGTTCAATTCCTCCGTGCTATGACGAATAAAGGGGTCTGGATTTTCGGCCACATTCTCATGCATTTCAGCCATGTTTTCAGCTGAACGACGTAAACAAGCAAGCAATGATGTTTTCACATCTGCCACAGAACCAGTTTATTTGAATTTACAAACAATTTTTCCAATTGCACTTTTGAAACATTTAACACGTTGTTTGATTGTTAATCTTTCCATGCTTGAAATTGCCAAAGACTTACGTTGTTAAATATGAAAGAAAAAAATCATTAGACGCTTAAACTTAATTCACATTTAAAATCGGTCCAAGTTATTGGAACAGCCTATAGTTGGGCAAGAACTTTTTAGAAATGGTTCGTTGAACTCGTGTAATTTAACACTGAGCTCTGACCACCGCTTTATCAATGGTAGAAAAAAATGACGTAACGCTCAGCCACTGGTTGAAAAGTGGTAGAGAAAAATGATTTAATTCACGGTCACCGGTAGAACTGTGGGTAAATACATGTAACCATTTTAATACCTACCGTTAAAGATTATATACCAGTTATATGCGAATTTTGACTCAGGAGCTCAGGCAGAAAGGTTATTATTTTTCAGAAAAGCTGGGCTCAAAGATTTAAGTAAGCGGTTCGCGTGAAACATTTTCGATCGCCTTTAATCCTGTTGGAGGGTCTGGAGTAAATAAAGTTATTCATGGATATTTCTCTGTTGAAATGAATACGCCTTCTGTTTTACGCACATGTGTAGTTGAAGGAAAGCGTTTCCCCATACGGACCCAAAATCAGTGAAAGGGAAATAAATTTCGTTTCTCTGAACGCAAAGGCCTGTACTCGATGTAAACAAATAAAACGTAATGACAAAATTAATCAATAATTATGAAATTTCGAGATAATTTACGGTGATTTACGAGTACTAGAAATGTACTGAATGTACAGCTATCACAATTCACGCCTTGGTTTTTATCTTCTAAGCATTCGACTCGATGTTCGCTCCAGTGATTTTTGGAAGTCTCTCGGAATTAGTATAAAGTTCTCTGAATGTTACAGTAGACATTTTTATTCAATACATGAATTAACAAAGCTACGTGTAGAAATAGGAGTGAGGATGCACAAAAAAGTAGTTTTCTTTTTCTTTTTCTGGATGTATAAGCTAAAAAAAGGAAAATCTGCCATTAAAAAAACGGAAAAGGAAATTATGTTCTTCAATTTAATGTACTTTTGGAATACTTATAATTTTCCAATCTTCTATTTTTTCTTTCTTAAATTATTATTATTATTATTATTATTATTATTATTATTATTATTATTATTTGTTCTGATTTCTGTTGTATGCAAATTTCCTTTCGGGTCCCCGCCAGAAGACCAAGGTCAGAAAGGTCATTTTCCACTGATACTTTTTGTAAAAAAATAAAACTATAATCAAACACACTTTACATACATAAAGTTCTTCGTAATATGCATTCTGTACTTGTAAGAACAATATTTTGTATTTCTTTAAGGCATGGACCGCATGAATCCCTTCATTGTGTATATCGAAACCTTTTCCAATCATTCTGAAGGCTCTATGTACAACTAGAATTATTGATGGCTTCATGTACCACATTTTTGAGATTTCCGCCTTGTATTTAGATTTTTCAAACATTAGCTTAATTTAAACCTTTAGAATTCATAATTACTATTTTATTTATGGAGAAAATGCTCAGAATTTATCTATAGGAAAAGAAATAAGACAATAGGAAAACTGTAGTTTTAGCCAACGTGTTTCGTCCAAGGTGAACTTTTTCAAGGCAAATAACGTAATGAAATTACTGAAACAAAGTATATCTATATAAAAATCATGTCGTTAGTAAAGAGAAGAATTTAGAAACGTTATTATATATTCATTGCGTCAACTGAATAATTAATCATTTATTTTTATATCTGAAAGGCATATTTTCACATTCACATGTAGAAATATTGTTTGTATGGCTGTGTTGACGAATTAACAGTTTTCTTTTGATTTCTTGATATATTTGTTGTGTGTATTAGCTTGGGAGTGTAGCGAATCTGTTAGAAATGGTGTCACTCTCAAGGAGTTTCGTTCTGAGTGAATAATTTTCGTTTTTTATTAGTGCAGCATTTTTAAAATGAAAATTGTGGTTGAATTTCTTTCTTTGTATGACTAGTGCATTTGTCTAATTATCATTTATGAGGTCCCTTTTGTGTTCATAAATGCGTTTATTAATATTTTTTTTGCATTTTGTTTAGGTAGAGATAATTTAATTTCTGTTTTTGTTAGCTCTGTTTTTAGTAGCCTTAGACATTTCACAGTAGGGACGTTTTTATATAGAGATTTTATGTGTAAAATAGCCATATACATGTTTTTGACGTCTATGTTTTGTTTTGTTTTTAATTTGTTTTGGAGATCACGTGAATTTTTTGAAATATGATGGACTAATCGTGCGGAGTGTGGAGTTAAGATTTTGCTTACTGTTCCGGCTAGTTTATGTGAGGTTCTGCCTATACTATTAGTCCATCGTGTACAATAATTTTCTCTTATTTAAAGTACAAATCAACTACTTTTGGGGCCAATATAAAAAAATTACCAGGGTTGGCTTCAAAAGTCTGAAATGAAGTGTATATATAGGCAAGAAACAAATTTTAAGAAGTTTTAATCAGACCGAGCAGTATTACTTATTTTAAGTGTACAGATTATCAGATAAAATCATAACAAAATCCCATCCAGTGTGCGATTTCATTTACTCTTAAGAACAGAGACAGACAAATACTATTTCTCCAACAGACGTGTAGATCCGAAGACGATTGTGTAAGGCATGTGTATGAATTAAAGAACATTCTTTTTGTCACCCACA